TTAACCACACTCCTGGCCACACAGTTACTGGGTAACTTCCATTTTTTCAGCACTTAAAAAAATAAAAACAAACCAAGTAACAACAACAACACCCCCCACCCCCCTCAATCCCCAAAGGCTTTGCATTTACAGGTCCATTTGCAGCCAATTCAGTGCTAAAAGCTGGTCTTCTCCCTGGGTGTTGTCAGCGCTCAGGAATTCAAGGAGCTTTGTCTGTGTGGTGTTACCCAAGTAGCCTCTTATCTTTAGTAGCCTGTGAGCTGTTAGCTGTAGGGCAGACATAGAAAGTCAGACCGCCTTCTATTTAAAGAAAATGGAAGTCCCTACTCTACTGCTTAATTAACTATCAGAGAGCAGGGATTCCTACTGGTGATGATAACATTCACTTAACATACTCTGAAGGAAACATGGCAGGAAGCAGAATGAGGAGGGGAGAATTGTTACTTTGATAGGCCTTCTAGGAAGAAAAACTGGCGCAAAGTCAAGAAGGCAAAATGGTACATGATGTGTACAGGAGAGGCGTCTGTGAGTGGACGTGTCCGAGAGGCATCTCGGAAGAAAGGCCTGGTGATCTGCTTCTGGAAAATCATCTACTGAAAATCTCCCCAGTGAGCTGGAATCAGCTCCACAGGCACTGGCTTTTGGTGGACGTGGGGGAAAAACTGAGAAGAGATGGATGCATGGACAGATATATAGACTCACAGACAATAGACTATGGGAAGCTCAAATTCACAATGCAGATCAAGTAGGGGCTTGAATGCCGGGGTGAGGTGTTGGCGTCTGGGGGTCTGTATGCAATGAGAAACTAAGAGAGTGGTTTGTAACCAGTAATCAACACTGAATAGGAAAGTAACTGTCTTGGGAGGTAACTCAAGCTTGTTTTTTGTTTTTCTTAATTGTGCAAGGAAAGGAGTCCTCTGACACAATGGTTAAGGTGCACGGCTGCTAACAGAAAGGTCAGCTGTTTGAAGCTGTCAGCCAATCTACAGGGAAATGATGTGGCAGTCTGTTTCCCTAAAGATTGCTTCTGGCTTCCTGGTCTGACAGTGATGGTGGAAGCCTGGACACAGACTGTGGTCCTGAGTCACCTCCAGGCCTGGAATGGGACTCACTCACAAGTGGCTCAACTTGCCGCCCATCAATAGACAGGCCTATAAGGCGAACAATAGCACCAGAAGGGTATATACTCCTTAGAACAATCAAAAAGGCAGCGTTTGCACCTGGGATAAAGCTCAGAAGGCAGGAAAGGCTAGGAACGAAAAATAAAAATGGTAAACATACTTCAGTGGGAAGAGTGTGGCTCTGTTGTGAAGATTGCAATCAAAGTTACGAAACAAAATGTGTAGGACCTATTGAATGGAAAACCAGTTTTCTCTGTAAACTTTTGCTCAAAGCACACTAACCCATAGAAAGGAGAAACACAGGCTTGGAAACCCTGTGAGTAGTTTCTCCAGCTATGAGTCATAGTGGCTCCATGGGCTGTGGGAACTGGATGAAATCAGGCTGGTTTTTGACAATGTCATAAACCCAAACCACATTCACGGCCATCGAGGGGATGCCGACTCATAGCCACCTTGTAGAGACCGGGTGGAACTGCCCCTGTGGGTTTCTGACACTGCAGCTGTTTATGTTGAGTACACAGCCCCTTTTTTCAGGCACAGTGGCTGGTGGTTTGAACTGCTGACCTTGGAGTTAGCAGCCCAATGAGTAACCGCTACAACACCAGTGTTACTTAACAGTGTCATAGCAAGCACTTAGTTGTTAGTTCAAATAAACTGCTCCCATACATATGTTTATGAAATGGAGACTGGGGGCTGAGAAAACTAGGGTTCTCTTAGGAAGAGGAAACTATCTGCTCCCACCACGATGTACAGCCTCAGAGACACTATATAGGGTCACTGTGAGTTGGAATTGATTCAGTGGCAATATTTCCTCTCCTCCCTGCTTCCACTGGTTCTAGAGAGCCCTGGTGGTATAGTAGTTGTGCATTGGGCTGCAATCTCCAAAGTCAGCAGTTCAAAACTACCAGCTGCTCTTTAGGAGACAGATAGAACTTTCAATTATGAGTGATGGCATGGGTTTGGTTTTGGTTTTTGGTTCTAGAGAAATGCTGATGGCACAGTGGTTGCATGCTCAGCTGCTAATGGAAAGGTTGGCGCATGGTGTCCACCGGCTGCACCGTGGGAGGAAGCTGTGGCTGCCTGCTTCTGAGAAGGCAGACGGCAGCCTTGGCAACCCTATCAGGTAAGTTCCACTCTGTCTGTGGCCGTGGGCCCTGGAACCAACCCAACGGCAATGGGCTCGACGGTGGCTGGCTCCAGAGCCTTTGCTCTAACCAGTATATATGCCATCGCCTGGTATTTTTATTTTGCCTGGTTTTAAAAATAATTTTTATAACAATATTTTGGAGAAAAAAAATCCCCTCTGTTCAGGAGGGAAGGAAGACAGACAAGGAGGCAGTGATGGCAACAAATTCAAATCTTTTTGAATGTTAAGCCTAGTGACCAAAAAAAAAAATCACATTCCCCATATATTTCTTTCACCACCACCCCCATAGCAATAACAAATGCTTGTGCAACAATTTATAATTTCCACAACTTTTCTATGTCACTAATTCCCCCCTTAAAGCCACCCCACAGAAATCACTACTGGAAAAACTCAATTCACAGACGAGGAAAGTGAACTTTAGACAGGTCAACGCGTCATTCTCATGGACGGCATGAGATGGTTTCTTTGATCCCCAACCCCAGGCTCTGTCTACTCCTCCGCATGGTCTAGATCGTTTCACCCCGGTGTCTTCCCCCTCTTCGGTCTAGGGAAGCACCGAGAAGGAGCTGAAGTTAAGGGGAAGGTTTGGATCAGACTGAGCCAGATGAATTTACTAACTTTTGAAGCAAGAAAGCCTGAGCTACAGCCTGCCACTTCTGGCCTTTGCCCCACTGTGGTACAGGCAAAGAACCTTCCTGCAGGAAAGCTGACGAAATAATTCTCTCTCTCTCCTTTCTCTCCAACACACTAGTATAATTTGGGGAGATAAGCCAGGAAACCCTATGGGGGGCAGTTTCTCCAGCTAATGACACTAGACTAATAACCAAACTGCAGGGAGAGCTTGCTCTATCCTTTATAACGCCCCAGGCAATGCTGATGTCCATTCAATTCTCATTTTGTTGTTGTCTGCCCTCACATCGATTCTGACTCCCATGTGATCCTCTAGGGCAGAGTAGTTTTTCAGGGCGCTAAGGCTTCCGGGAATGATCCCCAGGTCTTTCTCAGGCTACACTGGCGGGTGCCCACTGTGGAGGCTTTACTTGTGCCACTAGGGCACCTTTGATTTTCAAAAAGACCCATAAAGGCCTTTGATTTTCAAACAGACCCACTATGACCCAGTGGTGTCATAGCTACAGAATTCTTACTTTCCACCTAGCCAATGCGCCCCCTGTGCAGCCACCCCCCATCCATTAACGAAGGATGCCGGTCATTGCTGTGATGCTGGATAGGTTCTAGCTGGCCTGCTATACTGAAGAGCGCTAGGAATAAAGGCCTGACAATCAGCCATTGAAACCCCCAGGATCACAGCAGTACAATGCCAATGTGCCCGCGTCGTGGGTGACTCCGCAGAAACATCAGGTATATTGGGCAGGGCTCCTTTTACTGATGCCCAAACGGAGGCTCGCAGGAACCAGGGGCCTGCTCCAGGGCCGTTCCACTGCGAGAAGGTGGAGGAGGGAAGGCGAGCAGGCCACAGGCGGCAGAGTCTGAGCATTTGACCCGGAGGGCCTCGTGTGTAAATCTACTTCAGCCTCACCCCCATAAAGGATGGCATTCTTGGAATAGCTGCTCTGCGAGGACACTGGGCTTCTCCAGGAGAGACAGCAGCAAGGGCTACGGCGCCTCTGGATGCTGCTTCATGACCTAGAAAGCCCTACACCTTCCCTCCCCACCCCAACATGTTTTCTTTATAATTAAAAGAAAAGAACGAAGGGATTTCTAGAATTCCTTCAGAGCATCTTTCCTAACCTTTCAAAGATCATTTTTAGAGCAGCCCAAGCTAACGGGAGAATGCAGCGGTGGTCACACGGGGTGTTACCGGGACTCCCTGACCATGCTCATGAGGGCCAGGCCAGGGACTGGCCAGTCTGCAGTAAAGCACGACCCAGGGGCTTGGATAAGCGTGGGCGGTTTTGCAGGCGAGGAAAGCACTATTTTACTCTCAGTTCATTAAGGAGCACACTCCTCAAAGGACTTGGCCGGCACTCTGTCAATAATCTGCGGGGAAAGTTTACTGGGAGTGGAACATTCACATGTCAGCGACCAGGCTTTCCAAAGCGCCACTGGCCTAGGAGCGGTTTCTAAGGGGAAGCCTCTCCCCATTCTGTAACCGTTTCTACACCCCCAACCACAAGGACTGCATTGAAAGCCTGCTTGGAGCAGGTAGAAAGTGAATTCAAATGTAAACAGGCTCTGGGGCTGCAGCCAGTCTGGACGGTTGGAACCAGCAAGTGTCTGGCAGCAACAATGCAACTATCAGGTCAAGTGTGTATGAAGGGTGAGGCCCCTGGGGCAGCTGCCACAAGAAAGCCCTCTATTAATCCCTTAACTAAGCAGCTGATGGATTTAATTTTTTTGCGCATATGTTATCACTCTTCGAACACTGGGCTATTATGAACTTTTAAAAAGCAAAGGAAGAATCAGCACAGCCGATCGTAGATTTTTTAAAAATAGATTCCTTCATCTTGCTAACAGATGACAGCAAACAGTACTTGGGAAAGTCCCGTTACAACCCGCTGTCACCCTGGCTTGAAGAAAATGGTCAGGCAGCCTCTTTCCCAGGTTCCTACACCAAGAGATTAGGTTCTAGTTGAAGAGAGAAGAGATGGAAGTTGCCTGCCTGCCCTGGGATTTGCTTTCTTTTGAGTTTGCCACCATTGTTATTTAAAATAACAGCTTTAAATAATTCAGCTTGGGTTTTTTGCACCAGACAACAGAAAAGGAACCCTTACCTGGTATAATCTCCTTTGGCTTCCTGAAAAAAAAAATGAAGAAAGAAAAAAGATAAATAATTGATAGGGATTTTGTCAAGCTCAACGAGTTTTCTTGATCCAGGAAGTCCCTTAAAGTCTCTGAGTTTTGTTTGGAAGAATGTTTGTGCTTTGACAGAAACAAAACTATCCCTATATGGCTGTGGGGGAGAGTGGGACATTGACAAGTGACATCTAACAGACTGGAAATCCAGCATATTCGAATATCTGCAATATTGCTTTCTCCCTTTGGAAGAGGCAAATGCATCAAAAATAGCACAAAGGAGCATGCCTTCTTTTTACTTTCCAAAGCTCGCATAATTAAGGATTCTCTATTCAAGGGGCACTTTTTATTTAAATTTTTAACTCTGGACACAGATTTTAAACCACAACACAGGTAAAACAACACACACGATTGCGTTTACTTTTAAAATTAGAATGGAAACAGACTTTGTTTTTCAGACACTGAAGCCTTTAAAAATTAAAGGGCTCTCTTTAGCCCAACCTCAAAACAATCTATTCAAGTTACTAAATTTAAATGAAAATTACAGCTGCTGCAGCAACCCCTCCTTCCAGAATTCATGCCCCCAGAAGGTCTTTCCCAGGAAGATGGTCCTCCCTGTCTCCCCGTGCCAGCTCTAAAGTTCACTTGGTTTTGAGACACGCAGGGTTACTCTGCGGCGCATGCAATCTCCTCTCTCACAGAGACAGTGGCTCGGACTTCGCACTGGCAAAAACAACCAGCGGGTTTAAAAATCTACCAGCCACTGACCCCTGCAAAAGTCGCACAGTTGTAGGCAGTTAGCAAAACCAACACACACAAAAGGAGCCGGAAGAGCCAGTCTGTAAATTCTTACCTGCAGGATAAGCGCTGCCAACTTGAAGGTGGTTTCGCTGTCTACTTCAATTTGTCCCTGTGGGCGGAAAAGGGAAGCATCACTGAGCACCGTGCTACCCTGGGTTGTAGCAAATAGCTGTCCAGTTAGGGAAGCTGTCACAGCCCGGCACCTCCAGTTTACGATCAAATGCAGATCATACCACTGCAGGGTAAAGAGGGGGGGAGTGAAGTGTTGAGGGGGTAAGGAGAAACCACTCTGTGTGTGTGTGTGTGTGTGCGTGTGTTTATGTGTGTGTGTGAGCTCTGGGAAATTTGTTTGGAGAGCCGTGTACTGGAGGAAATATGAATGACCTTAAGCCTGAAAATTCAGCCTCGGTGGCTCATTTTTCTCTATCCAAGTTCATTTGAAAGTCCTGCAGATTTTCTTAGATTTGTCTGTGAGTGTTTTCTTGAGATAGTTTTTCCTCTTTCTGTGTTATAGCATGTTTATTTTTGTACATACTCAAAGCAAATATTATTAAAAATATAAATTCACTTCTACATCATTGACACATTACTGAGTTGATGTGTACCTTATAGCTACATTGTGAAGCCTTAAAACCAGTTATGGCAAATGCTCAATAGCCTGAAATTCTTTTTCTTTGTAGTGAAGTTTGATGAACTCTAATTTATTAATTTTTATATCATCTTTTCTCTTCCCTCAAAATAAGAGATCTGGAGTTTGATTTACAAAAAGTAGCTTGGCACAGGAAGGACTGCAGGGCCAACAACAGCTTGAGACATGATGTCCCCTCGCTGGAGCATACTTCAACACAGGACCATACTGGGGACCCGTGGTGGGGAGTGAGTCCAGTCTGAACCCACCACAGCGAGGCAAACCAAGAAGGGAACATAACAGATCAGCAACAGGAGCAAAGCCAAGCCACAAAGCCCCTGAGGAGCCCCCAAACAGACCAGGCTAGGAGGGCCAGTTCCCAGAACCACCCAGGACTAGTGGGGAGATAGTCATAAAGGTCAGGGAACAGACCTGGAATTATCTAAGCTTTTTCAGGTTCTTTTTGCTAGTTATTATTATTTTTATATATTTGTTTTTCTTTTTCTTCTTTTCTTCAAATTTTTGGTTTCTTTTTGGATTGTCTGTGTTATTATTGGTTTGCCTACCTATGTAAGATAGGCATGGGAAGCAAGCCTGAGGAGAAAGAAATTGGACTGGAGATTCTGGAGGGACTTGGGGGGAGAAGGAGGCAGGGAAGGGAGCGGTGAGCAGACAATACTATAAACAGGGAACAACTAGGGAATTAAAACCAACAACGAGGAGGAGGTAGCGATCCTGGGCGTGTTGGAACAACAGCAATCTAGCTGAGAGGAAGTACGAAGAGGCAGAAGAAGGGCGAGCATGGTGGTGGGAAAGGAGGAAGGTAAAAGGAAGCAGAGGGGAGATCTAGGAAGCAAAGCTATGGATGGAAGTATCAACATAAGTGTGTGCTTATGTAAATATATTAATTCATAAAAATAGCATCATTGGCATATGTTCATATATTTATATAGCAATAAATTGAGGAAGGGGATGGATTTGAGGCCTCTTCTCAAGCCCTCCCTCAATGCAGGAACACTTGGTTCTAACAACCTGGCATTCTGTGAGGCCCACCCTCCCAACACGATCGCTGAAGACGAACGTGTGCATAAGCAAATGTGGTGAAGAAAGCTGATGGTGCCTGACTGTCAAAAGATACAGCGTCTGCAGTCTTAAAGGCTTGAAGTTAAATTGGCCATCTAGCAGAGAAGCAACAAGCCCACCAGGAAGTAACTCACCGGCCTGTGCAATCATGAGGTGTTGACGGGATTGGTGACAGGCATCAAAGACCCCCAAACAAACAAACAAACAAACAAAGACCATATTGTTGAGAACAAGGGGGCTTGGAGCAGAGACCCCAATGTCCCACTTTTGGTGGGACAGTCCGGATTTTTAACAATTTTTCCCGTGTCCCGATGTTTGGAAAGAATGCACGACAAGCTAGGGTATACGGTTTTCGGCTGCCATGTGGCTATTGCGCCAGGATATGAGTTTTATCAATGGTGTCCCGTTTTTACCAATGTTAAAATCTGGTCACCTTACGGCCAAACCCATCTGTAGACAATGGGACATCCCCCCATAGACGGGTCCCAAGGAAGGGATGAGTCAACCAGGGGGAAGCATAGCACCCATGTAACCCACACTATTCCTCTGGTTCCTTGAGGCTTCCGGACCCCCCACTATCATGACCCCAGTCCTGCCTTTCACTGTGGGCTGGGCTGGAGCATGTACACAGGTACAGATAATAGTTCATAACACTCTGAATCCAGGTCATATAAACACCTCGGGAACAGAAATGGGAGCATCGATACCAGGAGAGGAGGAGGAAGGTGGGGAGAGGAGAGAGGGAAGAAACCAAGGGGAAAGGGAGACCACGGTCGGTATAAGATATGAAAATAATAATAATTTATCAATGGGTCATGAGGGTAGAAGGGGAGCTGATACCAAGAGCTCAAATAGTAAGTAAATGTTTAGAAAATAATGATGGCAACATATGTACAAATATGCTTGATACAATATGCTTGATGTATGGATTGTTAAACGAGCTGTAAGAGCCCCCAATTAAATGATCTAAAAAAATAAAAGTCAGGGTAGAGCCAAAAAAACCAAAATCATCAACAAAGTAGCTTGGATGCAGAAGTGTGCATGTGCAGGGGGTCTAACATCTACCAACAGGACTGACATGATCCTTTATTGATGTCTGTGTGTGTAGTGCAATTGTAAATGCTATTACTACATCATTCAATATTGCAACCAAAATATAAATAAAGATTTCTTAATTACAACACCATTTAATATTGCAACCCCCCAAAACAGATCTTTGTCACTGCATCATTTATATTGCAACCAAAAAACATGGAGACCTTTATTATTGTATCATTTAATACTGCAACCAACAAAATAGAGCACTTTGTTTAGAAAAATATTTTTTGTAGTTTGCTTGCTTGTCAACATTGACACATGCAAACATGGTTTCCAGAATCTCCTCCCTGGCCTAACCCTACAGAGCTAGTTGTTGAAAGTGAAGAGAGTTAGTAGACAAGGAACTCATGGGGGTGCAAACCGCTCTGTGCCCTTTCCCTCCCTTCTCCTTGTTGAACCTGAGCATTGAGTTCCCTCACAGCTTCATATGCACCTGTGCAGAGTAACAAAGGGCTGGCAAGTCCAAGCAGGCTTGGAAGTGTATAGAAACCCTCACTCATCCAGGGTTTCTGAAAGCCTGGTCACTCAGGTTCCCTGATGATTGGACTGGGGTTCTCAAAAACAAAGGCCAGCCCTCATTCTTCTAAAAGACAGACCATAAAACAAGCAAGCAGCCCAGGGTAGGGTAACATCAACTTGTATCAGCAGTGATAATTATTCATGTTTCATCTGTACCATGAAATGGAAAACAAAATAATTGTATCTTCCTCTGACACACAGCATCCCCTGTGAAACCTGAGGCCCAGGATCAGCATCAAAGTTTTTGGCTTCCTAACAGGCCCGGAGCCTTGGAATTCAAAGCTCGTCTATAATCTCGAGAAGCAGATTACAAAATCAAAGAGAAGCCAGATTGAGAGTAGGAATCAATTGCCCCGTGTCTTTCAGGCAAGAGACTGTGTTTTTCTAGTCTGCTGAAAGATGATGAAGCGGTTAAGCCACCAGGTGAGGTGGGTGTTGATCAAGATTAAAATGTTGAAAGGGTGAATTCCTGAAGTTCAAAGAAAGAAGAAATTCATGGGGAAGCTGGGGGAGCGGGGAAGGGGGGCTAAGAGTGAGCACTCAGAAAAGAACTCGAATGCTCAAGTCAAAGTGACTGTCTTAACATCGTAGAGAAAGAAAGAAAAAGTATATTATTTAGGCTACTCAGCTAACTAAAGATGCAAGCATCTTGAAAGTTACTGCCAACTCCCCCGGTGCCCCACAACCCTCCTTTAGATGAGTCATCAGAACACCATGCTAGACACTGACTTGGCAATTAGCAAGTGGACGACCAGCCAGTCAGATAAAAGGACCTAAAGCAGATACCTATGTGGAAACTGCCAAACAATTCTCTACCTCAGGAGGGTCATTAACTATGAAACATGTTGAACTGAGGAACTGAAGCGTGAGTGGGACCAGGTGGAGACGGCTCCGGAAGAGCGGAAAGGCAAATACAGAATTCACCAGTGGGACCCCGGCGGTGAACCAGCGGCTCCAACACTTGCTCCGTGTGGTGGAGTGGCACGAGAGTGGAGGGCTGGGGCTGGTGGCAACCTTATTCCGAGGGAAGAGGGAAATGCATTATCTGGCAAAGTCCCCTCTCCTTTTCTGTCCCTCGGTCCAAAATGGCAATCTAGTTAGCAATCCCTGCCCTAGGCACACAAGGCAACTTATTTTAACGTCTAGTGCTCCTACCGAGGCTCACTGGACTTGTGTGTGAAGTCCATTACACAACAGATCAATCGAGAATAATGCTCTTTGTTAGTTTCAGTAACTCCATGCGGTGAGATTTGCCTAAGCTGGGAGCTACTGAGCCGGGACCCAAACCCTGCCATTAAGTCCATCCTGACGTATAATGTATAACGTCCCTCTAAGACAGGGTGGAGCGGCCCCTATGCTCTGAGACTGTAACTCCTTGTGGGAATAGAAAGCTTTGTCTTTCTCCTGAAGAGAGGCTGGTCATTTCAAACTGCTGATCTTGTGTTTAGCATAACCACGACGTCACCGGGGTCAGCGTCCCTGGCAGATGTGGCAAAGCTGCTTAGAAAATGCAGTCTGCCCTCGGATGGAATGCCCCACCTGCTTCTTTGCCCACGAAAAAGGACTCCAGCCACAGAGGTAGCCTTTTAAATTCTGGGAAGCCTCACCCTAGAGAGGGGGGCTTCTTTAGAAAGAAGCGTAATGGAATCCTCCCCTGGTGTCCCGTCCAAGATGAACAAAAGAGAATGAGGGGCGTGAGCCAGATGATGTGATTGAATGCACAGGTCATGTGACACAGAATGAAGTCCTCGGGCTACAGCCTCATGCTAATTTAGCTGGAC